TTAAATCTTCACCATGGCACTCGCTGAACACATTTTTCTTATCGCGCTTCTTGAAGCACCGCGCGGGGCTAGCCGCTACAGTGCGATGACATTTGCTTCGCCGCGATAACCACTTTCATATATGCGCTGAGTGCAACTAACGGCCGCACTTCGAAGTTCGCATTACACTATCTCGATTTGCATTGACAGGTAAATGTTGGGAGTCAAGACTCATCCGCCGTAGGGATACGGTAGGGCCAGAGAGAGAGAGAGAGAGAGAGAGAGAGAGAGAGAGAGAGAGAGAGAGAGAGAGCTCAGTGGTAATTTGCTGGGTGATGGAGAAGTAACCAGGAAATTATCTCAGGGAATGCCTCTCTCTCACACACACACCGAGCACTGTCCACGTGAGTGAGGAGGTTCCCACCGGCACTCTTTTGGCCCGGGTCTTGACCCAGTGACGGATAGGGAGTGGTCGGGGCAGCCTGTGAGGTGAAGCAGACGCGGTGGTGCACTGCAGCAGCTCGTCGTGCTGTTCTCTCGTCTCCTGCGGTCACTCTTCGGTCGCCTGCGCGCAGCGCGGAACCGAACAGCTGACAGGAGGCTGAGGGGAGGGGAGGGGGTGGAGGCCGAGCCCTGCCCTGGCCGAGCCGAGCCATCCCGCGACAGCTAGCCAGCCAGGCCGACTGCCCGACCCAGGCCCGGGCCGACCGGCCGGCCGACCGGGGGCAAACAGCTGGGTGTTTCGTTGTTTGATGGTTTCGACCTTGCCGTAGAGTCCGTCGCAGTCCGTCGCAGTCCGTCGCCGCGGCGGCGTGGTTCCCTCTGTCTCTCTCCCACTCACTGACCGCGAGTGAGGCAAGGACGAGGGACGGGGCGGGCAAGGCTTGAATTTTAATGTGCGCGCGCCTCGAATTTCATTCAAATTGAGCTTGGTGCGATGCTCCACCCGAAACCCGAAAGCGGAAACTTTGAAAAGGGACCGCCGTTTTCTGTCCTCGATGAAGCGCGCGTTCTTCCTGTTGGCCGCGCGAAAGCTCGTCAAAAGGGCCGCGTTCGAACGAGAGTTAATTGCTCGGATGGCATGGGGAACGAACGCGAGTGTGAATGGAGGTACCGGTGGGGGCCGGGCCGGGCCCACGCCCAAACAGGAGATTATCCCGAGTGGTTCAATGGCCATCGAGCTCCACACCACGCCGCTCGGCGCCGCTAGGTGTTGTAGGACTCGGGCTGTGCACACACACGCACACACACACGCACAGTCCAGAAGGACTTCTGTCCACACAGACTGACAGACTACTGTCCACTCGGGCTCGGCCGGAGTTACGGCCGACCACCCGTCGTCTGCGGGCCGAGTCCGGGGAACAGTGCTGTCTGTCTCTCTCGCAGCCCGCCGGCACGCCGCACGAGTGCGAGAGAGAGAGACAAGAGCGAAATTGGTCCGTCGTATTCTCCCGGAAGTGCCGCGCTCGGCACGTGTTGGTCACCGCCTTCGACGCGTTTGGCGTTTGGCGTGCATTTAGCGGGCGGCGTGGCTGGAGGCTTGGCGGCAAGGCGGCGCTCCTTCCTTCCAGACGTGGCGCATTCCTCTGTCTCTCTCGCACTTGTGCGGCGTCCCGTTGAGGCGCGAGAGAGACAGAGCGAGACTCTCGGAATGAGTCTGCAGACAGGCGTGGCGTGTAGGCGAGGCGCGATCTCCGAAAACCCGTCATTACATCGCCGCGCAAGGCACACGCCAAACCCACATTATTTCGCCCATTTTTGGGACTGCACGACACTGTCGGCGACTGACGTTTTTCTTTCTTTTTTTGGTCGCTCCGGAACGAGTTCCAGCGTGTGTGCCAATTTATATACCCACACTCGCGCGGCCGGCGGCCGCGTATGAGAAATTCAGCGAGGGGACTTGTACAAGCCCGGCGTGTTGTTGCGTCCCTTTGCTCCGGATGACTAATCGACTTTGTCGTTGGCACGCCGCGCCACGCCGCGCCACATCGTGTCGTGCCGTCGTGTCGGTGGTATTTTCCGGCACATCCACGCTCCGCGCCCCGCCACTCCGCGTCCCGACGGCCCGAACCGGTGCAAGTGTTCCGCGAGGGCGTTCGCCGGGCGTTCGCGTTGCGTGACTTCGGCTTCGGGGGCCACAGCCACTTCAGGTTCGACTGTTTGCAGAGTGGTGGTCCAGGCCCAGAAAGGGCGCGCCTTTTTGTCTCTCTCGCACTCCCGCCGCGTCCCGCAGGGGGTGCGAGCGAGACAGAGCGACAGGCTGACACATGGGCCAGGGCCGGATTTGTGGCGCTGCCGGCCCGGATCGCCCGCGTTCGGCTCCCAAAGTGAGTTGTCCACGCTGTCCGCGCCCGGTGCTCTGTCTCTGCCTCTGTCACTGCGACCCAGTTCCGCCAGTAATCATATCAGATAGCTCGGGGCCACTTCATTACTTCGTGCCTTAATGAGGCAAAGAGCTCGCCGTCTCGCTCGCTCTCCACTGGGCACCGTCGGCCTGGCCGCGCGCCGGACGAGGACGGACGATGGCCTTTTATTGGGGATGAGGGTCTCGCAGGGCCTTGCCGGGCCTCGCCGGGCCTCGCAGGTGAAGTGGTGGAGTCATTTCCTGCTTCGGGATACCCTCGCAACGCCATGGGAGGGTGTACTGTACTGGCATCTCTCTCTCTCTCTCTCTCTCTCTCTCTCTCTCTCTCTCTCTCTCTCTCTCTCTCTCTCTCTCTCTCTGGCTCCTCGACCTGAAAAAAAAAGCAAAGAAAAAATTGTGTAAGGTTAACTTTTGCAGTTTTCACGCCCTGTCAGAAATATTGTCCCCCGGCACAAGATTCGATGCTCGTTACGTGTACGTGCGTGTTGGGCGTGTTGGGGCGTGTTGGAGCGCGCGATACACGAAACACGACCCCGCCGTGTTTGCCGCCAAAACGCGCCCGGCCCGATGGAGCGCGCCAAGCCGCGCCAAGCAGCGCGAACAGCCAGCGCTTCGTCGGGCTGTCTCTCTCACGCCGTGCCGGAGCGCCCCGCGAGTGCGAGAGAGACGGAGCGACGAATAAGTCTGCGGCATATCGGCACGTGTGAAGCCGTGTGAAGGTGGGTGAGACGAGGAAGGGGTGGTTGGCGGCACTGCACGACACTGGTACACTGCACGACTCGACACCGGAATCGGGGAGATGGAGATTACTGGTCGTGATACGCAGCCAGCGATACGGCCGCCAAGGTAATCCGATTACTCGTGTATTCACTCTCTTCTTTGTACAGTCACCTGGCACACTACCATCAATGATTGGCGCCCACGTTGTATATTGCCCGAAGTAAAGTGAGGTTAGGACCACAGAGTCGTTGCTCTGGCTGACCGGCGTGTATTTCTGGCGCGGGTGACTTATGTTTGCTTGCATTGGCGGGCCGGCAGAACGATCAATCCTAAAACGACGTCCGTTTGCCATAATGCATCAGACGTCAAAGTCGCCGGCGCGCCTCTCTATTTACCAATTCTGCCGATCGGCTCCGGACTAAACGGAGCCTCGCAAAAGATTTTCTTTGCCGAGTAGGCCACACATTCCGAGTCCCACATCGTCTTCTTCCTGCTGATCTCCTTTCGCAGCGTAGAGTCCGCTCCGTAATAAGGAATGTGTTCCCGGATGGTCATTGCGACTTGTTGTTGTTGTTTGGTGCGCTGTGCGGTATGGCGACGTTTCGCTTGGAAGAGACCGGTCCTTAGATGGCCTGCCGCTGCCCTGCCCTGCCTTCTCTAGGCCGAGCCGAGCCGAGCTTGTGGGCCGAGCAGCCGAAGTCGAGCCGAACCAGCCGAACCGAGCCGAGCCGGTCTCACGTCGTAACTAGCCTCTTCTCGCGCTGCAATGAATCAATGAGCTGCACGGTTTTGTCCTCTGGCTGTCTGAGAGTGTCTGTGTGGCTAGAAAAAGTGATCACGTCTGCCATCGGGACAGGCCAAAGTTGCCTGAACTCTACTTCAGGTCACAATGGCCAGGTTAGGTTTTGGCGGGAAACAATTGGCGTGTCGCTTGTCGCTATCGATCCCTGTCGAGCTATCGAGCGATCTCAATATCTCGATCCAGACGACTTCGCCGTGTGAACGTCCTTCCTCTTCCGCCATTAAAGCTCAACAGAAAAAAACCACAAAGATACTTTTTTTTCTGAAGGTCTTTCTTTATATTCAGTTTTCCGTGCCAACTATTCAATTTACATCCAGATTTGTGTGCGAAATCTTTTACGATCCTATTTTGCATAAGGTAACTCATGCCGGGTCTGGCCTTATTGCAACGTCCTCTCGGCTCGGCCGGCCATAAAATCAAGGATTAAATAATTTTCTGCGCGCCGGAAATCGACTGGTTCTTTTGTCTTGATTTTTTTTTGACAAAAGAATCCTGCTCGCGCCGTCCTCGACACCGTAATTAAGGCCGGGACTGAAAGTGCTCGTCACGGCCGGTAGAGCGCGCTGCATGCAGTGCCAGTGCACTGGAAGTGACCCACCTCAACGCGGCCACCAATCAGCCAGTAATTATTATTACCACCCTGTTTGGGTTTGAAAGATTGACTCAGTGTTACGTGGCACTCTCTCCTTTGGCTCTGCTCTCTTAAGCAGAGACTGGCCGAATGAATGAATGAAGCGCATGGCCTTCGCTTCGGTCAGGCTGGTCGCTCTGTCTCTCTCGCACCGCAACACGACTCCCCGCGAGTGCGAGAGAGAGCGACGGTAACGCAGCCCAGGCCTAAGCTACTCCGGTTCGTCAGCAGCTTGTATACACGGTCCGGGGCGCGGCACGCGGCATCAAAATCGGTCCAGTAATCTGATACAAATCCTACAGAGGTGTGCCGTGCTGGTGGTATCCCTGGCGGGGAAGGGGGGATTTTTTTCTAGGAGAGCCGGGCTGTAACCGGACACGCCACGTCACTGCCAACCTCACCACTCAAATCAATTCTCCGGTTGCCGAAAATCCGGAGCGCGGCAGGCGAGTCCTGTGTCGTGGCCGTTGACGTTCCTGATGCACTTGTTCGTGTCGCCGCAGGCCCAGAGCCCCCGGTGCAGCTGGCGTCCAAGGAGGAGGTGCTGGACAAGGACAAGCAGGCCGCCATGGACTACCCCGTGTTCCCCAGCCTCCGCGACGAGGACCTGGAGAGGCTGGGCGTGCTGGCCGCGCAGGCCGCGCGCTCTGCCGGCCAGAACCAGAGCCAGCAGCATCAGCAGCAGGGCCCCGGACGGCCGGCCACCCCGAGCTCGCCGTCGCCGTCCAGCTCCCCCGTGGGCTCGCCCGCCGCCAACAACGGATTCGGGTAAGTCGCTCTCGCACTCTTGCGCCCTCCTGCGGAACGCCCCATGAGAGCGGGCTTGGGCTGGCCAGGGCAGACAGGCAGAAAAATCTGTCGGGGCCCTCGGGTTTGGGACCAGTAACGTCACAAAGTTGGTCAAAGAGTGACTGAATCTCCGAATGTAGCCGTTTTCGCTGATTTTGGGCGGCCACTGCGTCCGATCTAGTAGCGGCCAACGGCCTACCTCGACGCCCTAGTATCCTTAAGACCCTACTCTTTCATGCCGTGTATCGGGAAGACGTTGACCACAACGATTTTGGCTTTGACCGCAACGATTTTCCGACCAAGTTGGTCAAAAAGTGGTCGAATCTCGTAAATTTGCTGATTTTGCTGATTTCGGGTGGCCACTGTGTCCAATCTAGTCGCCGTAAAAGGCCTCCCTCGACGTCCTAGTATCCTTAAGACCCTACTCTTTCATGCCCTGTATCGGGAAGACGTTGACCACAACGATTTTGGCTTTGACCGCAGCGATTTTCCGACCAAGTTGGTCAAAAAGTGGTCAAATCTCAGAAATTTGCTGATTTTGCTGACTTTGGGCGACCACTGTGTCCAATGTAGCTGCCGTAAAAGGCTTCCCTCGACGCCCTAGTATTCTTAAGACCCTACTCTTTCATGCCCTGTATCGGGAAGGCTATTGACCGCAACTAGTTTGGGAGCGGTAGCCTCACAAAGTTGGTCATGAAGGGTAAAAACAGAATGATGATCGTGGGCCTTTCGCGGTCTTATCCACTGGGGCCTTTAGGGGGCCAGTCCGAGCCTGCATGAGAGTGAGAGGGACGGAGCGAGGAGAGCACAGTCTCCCTCAGGAGCCTCCATCCACCGCGGACCCATTTTTGCGACAACTTGGCCGGGACGTCCCCAGCGGTCTCCATCATTCTGCCGTCAGCGGCCGCAGCGCCGCCTGGTTCGCAGCGGCGGCGGCCGTTGCAACTAGACTCCGCCCGCGCAGCGCGCAGCCAGGGCAGCCGGCCGCGCACGTGAGAGAAGCTCGGCCGAGTGAACCGGGCAGAAACGATGCCTCTCCGCGGCGTTGGCGGCCGTCTCCCTCGCACCGCGGACGGAGTGGCACGGAGCGGCACGGAGCGCGCCGTGAGTGCGAGAGAGGCGGAGCGACGTAAGCACTTTTCGGAGTGCGAGTGCCGCTCGAGCGCCGCCTTTGAGCGCAAAAGGAGAAGTGCAGGTCGAGGCAGCTGTCCTGTTCGATAGACAGCGCGTGGCTGGAATCTCTAAACGGCGGCAAGGCGTTGAGCAAGGCGGGGCGGGGCGGGGCGGGGCGCTAAGTCGCATAACGCACCGTGATGTGTCGGGGCCGCGAGGCGAGGCGGAGGCTGGCCTGCAGGCTCATGCCGAACGGTGTCGCTCTGTCTCTCTCGCACCCGCGGGGCGTGCCGCAGGCCGCAGGGTTGCGCGAGAGAGACAGAGCACGAAGGCGCGTCGCGACCGGAGTGTCAAGAGGTGCGCCTTGCACGCACAGCTCAGATAAATAAATTTGTTGCTGCACAACATAGAAATGTTTCAAAATACTCTACTTTTTAATTTTTACTCGCCGAGCCATCGAAACAATAGTACAGTTACAGTGAACAAGAAATGTTTTTTTATCGACGCGCCTGCTCCCCGCCTCCAAGCGTGAAGTGTAGACGGTCGAGCAGTTTGCCCTTCTCGCGTAAAACACACTGCTTCCGGTCTGTCGGAGGATAAAACCGTGATAGATCGCCCTCGCAGCAGCAGACTGATTCCGAGAGTCGTTTTCGTCGCTCTGTCTCCCTCGCACTCGCGGGGCGTCCCCTGGAGGTGCGAGAGAGACAGAGCGACGAAAACGACTCTCGGAATCAGTCCGCAGCAGCAGCAGCAGCACCCCGTCATAAACCGCCAACCAAACCTCCGGACCGTCTCGCCACTGCCTAGGCACTGCCTGGTCTAGCTGCCACCCCAGCCCGCGACCAGCCCGGCTCGGCTCGGCCCGGCGCCGTTGGGAGGCTTTTGCACTCTGTGGACTATTCTGTACTCTGGAGAGGAGGCTCTGCGAACGTACTCCGTGGACACGTTCTGGACCCAGCAGGCGCGGCCGGGTGTCTGGGTGTTTTTGCCCGAGGGAGTCACGTCGCGTGCAGGTGGTGGCAATTAATTAGCGACGCACCTGTGAAGGAAAGGGGGGGGGGAGTGTCCCCGTTCCGTCCGTTCCGTCTGTCAAGACCAAGTCAAGACTGGCGAGATGGCATAGCGCTAATTTTCAATTGAATAGGGGCTTGCACGCGCGTTACACTGCGCGTCCGACCGCGTCTTCGCTCGTCCTCGGCTGCGACGCGTCTGTCTCTGTCACTGTGTCTATCTCCGTGATGCTCTGCCGCCCACCCTGCCGCGCCACCCGGTCGCCGATGATTCTGAACAGTACTTCATCTCTCTCTCTCTCTCTCTCTCTCTCTCTCTCTCTCTCTCTCTCTCTCTCTCTCTCTCTCTCTCTCTCTCTCTCTCTCTCTCTCTCTCTCTCTCTCTCTCTCTCTCTCTCTCCGCAATGGACCGGCCCGTGAGTGCGAGAGAGACAGAGAGACAGGCCGGACGAGGAAAAGGCGCGTCGCTTCGCCCGCTTGGCCGCCATGTCTCATTATACTCGCTGACGTTCTCGCGCCATTCTTATTTTGTCCCCGTTTTTCCGTTTCCCCATTTTTCCGCACCCTTCCCATTGCTTCGCTGCTCCGCCCCGCACCCCCGCCAGGGGTCTCCTTTCTCGCGCGCCGCCGCCACACTGCGAGTCGTCGCCCCGTCTCTCTCACTGCCACACGGGGCGCCCCGCGAGTGCGAGAGAGACGGAGCGACGAGAGTGCCGCGACGGGTCGTGAATAGGCTAATGTGGTTGGGAGGGCCGCGGCGTTACGGCCTTTACAGAGTAGCGGCGAGGCAAGAACCTGGTGCCGCCAGGCCGCCACCACACAGTGGGCCAGAAGACCGGTGGGGCCGGCCAAAACTCCAGACGCGTTTTGGGCTCCAGAGTCGCGAAACAGGACTCGAACCGAGCCTGTGACCCCACCAATGGATTCCTCGTTCGGAGAGCAGTCCGTTGGTGGGGTCACTCGTTCGGTTCGAGTCCCATTTAGCGACTCTGGAGCTCGAAACGCGTCTAGAGTTTTGGCCGCCGCCACCGGTCGTCTGGCCCACTGTGCACACAGCCGAATTTAATCTAGTCCGCGCGTGTAACTCACGGACGAATTTAATCTAGTGTATCTCGCACGCGAAGAAAAGGGGTCGGCTTCCAGGAAGCGAACGTCGTCGGAAGGGAGTGTTGTGTGTACACGCGAAAACGCCGCCACTGGGTCAGGGGACCTGGAGCAAAAGTAAGAGTCCCGGAGGACGTGCCTCCACGGTCATGCACTGTCCGAGCTCTGCAGTCCTCAAACGGGACTCAGTCCATCGCGTGAAGGCTCAATGGATTCAAAGGGAAGTCTTTTGTCGAGTAGATTAAGTCTGGTGTCTCCAAGAAGCGTCGCTGAACAGGGTCTTCTTGTCCACTGAGCGTGTGGGCGCGTCGTCCGCCTCGTGTCGCGTGTCCGTCCCGTGTCACCGCGGCGTCACCTCGCTTGTCCACTGAGCGTGTGGGCGCGTCGTCCGCCTCGTGTCGCGTGTCCGTCCCGTGTCACCGCGGCGTCACCTCGCTTGTCCGAGCTCCTCGCCGCGTGTGCGGCGCCGTCGTCCTGCCTCGTGTCGCGTGTCCGTCCTCCCGTGTCACCGCGGCGTCACCTCGCTTGTCCACTGAGCGTGTGGGCGCGTCGTCCGCCTCGTGTCGCGTGTCCGTCCCGTGTCACCGCGGCGTCACCTCGCTTGTCCACTGAGCGTGTGGGCGCGTCGTCCGCCTCGTGTCGCGTGTCCGTCCCGTGTCACCGCGGCGTCGCCTCGCTTGTCCACTGAGCGTGTGGGCGCGTCGTCCGCCTCGTGTCGCGTGTCCGTCCCGTGTCACCGCGGCGTCACCTCGCTTGTCCACTGAGCGTGTGGGCGCGTCGTCCGCCTCGTGTCGCGTGTCCGTCCCGTGTCACCGCGGCGTCACCTCGCTTGTCCACTGAGCGTGTGGGCGCGTCGTCCGCCTCGTGTCGCGTGTCCGTCCCGTGTCACCGCGGCGTCACCTCGCTTGTCCACTGAGCGTGTGGGCGCGTCGTCCGCCTCGTGTCGCGTGTCCGTCCCGTGTCACCGCGGCGTCGCCACGGCGTCACCTCGTTGTCGTGCTCCTCGACGCGTGTCACCGCGTCTCCTCGACAGGTGATTCCTCACCCACTAATCCCATTTGGCCGGCAGGCCGACGGGGCGGCACACTGGTGCGTGACGGCGGCTGTCAACAAGGGGCGGCCCCGGGGCAGCCGGCCAGCCCTTCGTGACCGCCATCGAACAGCCAATTTCTTAGTCGCACTGTAACGCGAGACCGCACGTCGGTACACGGTGGGCCAGAAGACCGGCGGAGGCGGCCGAAACTCAAGAAACGTGTTGAGCTCCAGAGTCGCTAAACAGGACTCGAACCGAACGTGTGACCCCACCAATGGACTCCTCGTTCGGAGAGCAATCCATTAGTGGGGTCACACGTTGGGTTCGAGTTCTGCTTAGCGACTCTGGAGCTCAACACGCGTCTTGAGTTTTGGCCGCCTCCGCCGCATCTTCTGGCCCACTGTGCAGACGCGAGGGCTCTTTGTAGGGACGCCCCCCACGCCGGACACGCCGGACACACTCGTGAGTGGATAGAACTTGCCGCCTAATTTTTGGCGCGCTCGCCTCCGAAAATGGCTTTTCCGTGTCGCGCTGCCCTTGAGGTCCTCGCCGTCCTCGGCGTCCCCGGCGTCCCCGGCGAATGCATAGACGTCCTCCTTCTTATCAGCGAGATTGGCCCGGGCCGCGTGCGAGGCGCCGCCGCCTTTGAATTTGCCGCGTGCGCTCCGGAAGCAGTCTGTCTCTCTCCGCGCAGCGCAGCGCAGCGCAGACATAATTGG